CGAGAGAGAGAGAGAGAGAGAGAGGGAGGGAGAAAGTGCCAGCCGTTTTGGGGGTTTATTAAATTGAAAGTATGTTACGAGTCGAAATAGATACTCACCCCTCAGTCAGTTTCCAAAATTCGGCCAGTTTCATTCTATTATCGACCATTACGAAACATGAAATTTCTACAAAAAAGGAAAGGATCGATGAAAAAATCGATTTTGCAAAAATTCGTTTCAATCGCATCAATTTAACGAAGAATAAATATCATACATATATTTTTATTTTTAACGAGGAAAGTTAAGTAGGAAACGGATATTTTTATTTCGAATAAATATATATATATATATATAAAATTCTGGACACAAAGAGTCGAGTAAGGATTTTCGTAAAGAGCAGGCGAGCAAAGTCGTCACTTACAGGTACAGGGGAAACCCTTGGCCTCCTTAAGCTCGCTCAGAGCGTAGCTTTCGCGCGCCTCTTATCGTTTTCTTAATCCCCTCATAAAGTAGCTGCATCCTACAACCTTTCTCTCTCTCTTCCTTCTTCTCTCTCTCTCTCTCTCTCTCTCTCCCCCTCTCTCCCCCTCTCTTCTTTTCCACTGTGCGAGTTTCCAGCCGGGGGCTGCTCGGTAGTTCCACGACGATGTGGTAGAACGCGAGATAGTGGTGTCCTCTCTGGCAAGCTCGGCTTAAAGAGAGCTTAAAAATCACCCCTTCAACCCCTACCGAGCTTTTTCCATCCCCGTCAACGACGATCCAACCGTTGGTGGGGATTGAACGTGGACCAATAGCGATGGTCGCGAGCACGCCACGCCACGCCCACGTCCCAGTGACCAGACAACCCTCCCCACTCCGTCGCCACACTTCCCCTACTTGCTGTCCCCCCTCCCCCTTGCTCGCGATCCCTTGCCCCTGAAGCTCCGCTGGCTTCGGAGCTTTCACGGAATTTTTAAACTGCCCCGTACAGATGACGGTATAATCTGCTATTGATCAAGGTGTTTCGAAAAACCGATACCATACCGATGACTACGGGCTTCACTTTTACTCCTTCCCACCCCTCCCCTACCCACCTGCCGCCCCCGTTGCCGAGTTGTAACCCGTGCCGCCGTGGTTTTTCCTAACTTCTTTACCTCTCTCGTTTTCGTTAACGCTTCTTCCACTCTTCCCTTCCACCTTTTCTTTTTCTTCTTCTTCTTCTTCTTCTTTTTTACGTTCGTTCATTTTTCTTCTTCTTTTTCTTTTTTTTTTTTAACTTCTTTTACTTTAGTAGAGATGAGTTGTGTTTTCGGTACACAGATCGTGATGGAAATTTTCTTTTTTTTTTTTTTCGTACATCGAAGAATAAGAGGAAAAAGAAGAAGAAGAAGAAAACGGTAGAACGGGGAGCAGCGTAATCGCGTTGGAACAGATTAATCCCTTCGATGTCGCGAATTTAATTGCAGAATAGCTGCACATGCGAACGATTCCCATGGTCGTCGGGTGGTATCGGCTAGTATTGAAAAAAAAAAAGAAAGAAAAAAAAAAGAAAAAAAGAAAAAAGAAAAAAAGAAAAAAAAAAGGTGATCGATCGTTTCTCTATTCTCTGTTGGATAAATTTAACTGTCCATCCACGTCAAACGTTCGCTACGTCAAAGAGAAGCGTTTCTGCAGCTCTATCTGTCATCCGGTGATCGTTTATCCACCTGACATTATATAACATTTCCACATCTCCTCCAGATCCCGTTCTTTTTCAGCCTCGTTGCTATTTATTGCGGTCGTTCCTCGCGTTTCCATCCTCATCCTGGCCCCTGAAAAGATCGATCTCTTTTCAACTTTTCAACTTTTTTTATCCATTTTTTATCGGAATAAAATGTTTCGAAATGGATCGACGTTGTTCTCCCTTTTTTCTTTTTTTCTTTTTTCCCTTTTTTAAAGATAAAACTCGCGCGTATCTCGATCGAAAAGAATATTTTCTTTCCCTCCTCGGAAAAGAAAATTCGTTCCTTTCGACTCGGCTTGGCCAAGAAGAGAAGACGTTGGCCAAACGAAAAGCCAAACGACCGACAGACATAATTTCAGATCCCTTGGATTGCACAGGTTTGCAACACCTGGGTCTGGAGCAAGGAGCCAGCCAAGGATGGGGTGGATTACCTCGGGGCTCTCTTCCGCCGCACTGTCTTCCGCCGCCTCCCGGCCACCATTCGCATACACATCCTCCGGCAGCTGGTGCGTCGGCCTTCAATCCCTTCCACCACAGTATCGAGCAAAGATCTCCCAGACTACCTGGACCCAACTCTGGTGAGGCTCGCCTCGAATTCTATCTCACGTGGAAACGTCCAACATCTTCTCTTTTCTCTTTTCACATACAAGATAAAACGTATATATTCGAATATTTCTAGAAAATTAAAAAATCCTCGTACACGAGAAGGATGGTGGACGGAGTTCGATAACAGATCGAAATTTCATTCGGATCATTTAACAACGAGTAGAGGATTGATAATAATAACGAATCGATCGATTTCTTAAAGAATCCGCGAGGAACGATTTGGGCCCGATCAGCGTGTCGGTGAGGGAGGTGACACCGACCACTTCGCCCGGCAATCCTGGGCCCGGATTGCTCACCACGGCCACCGTCGCGGCGCCCACGCCTCCGGCAGAACCTACCACGACCACCACCACGCCTAGCCCTTCGTCGGGCCACCATTCCCACTTTCAAGGTAACGATCTTCCATCGATCTCGAAAAAAAAAAAAAACAAAATCTCCTCTTTCCACGACGCGCGTATCGAGTCGACTCTCTGCAACCGTTCTTCCATCCGACAGGTCTTCATCTTCTCGGGGCGACGGGGTCTATTTTCGGATCGATATTCGCCCCTCTGTTGCCGCAATCCTCCTGGCTCTACAATCCTCTCTACCACACGCAGCAATACGTGCTGGAGCCCGAGTGGCACGCTCTCGCGCTCAGGATGGCGCAGCAACGGTTGCAGAGGCCCGATCAGGCAAGGGTCGAGGAGATGAGGAAGGTTCGGAGCGGTAGCAGCAGCCCGGAATCCGCGTTGAAGGAGGCGAGACGGCGGGACGACGAGGATCAGGACGAGGCGGTACGGGGCAGATCGGACAGCCCGGATGGGAGCATTGAGGTGGACGATAGGAACGAGCAGGATCCGAGCAGGGATCGGGCGAGGAGCGACGAGTCGGCGGCGGGGCAGGACTCGCCGAGGATCTCGCCTGTGAGGAGCGAGGACACCGAGGACACGACCACCGACGCCACGTTTCAGGACGGCACGGTTCACCTCAGGCCGAGCGTGGAGAACTCGAACGATCGCGAGGAGAGCGGAGTCGGGAACGACGAGATCCCTCGCAGGGATTTGAAGATCCACCGTCTCGAGGGGACGGTGGATCTTAGCACGAGGAATAAAGGGCAGGATAAGGAGAACGTGGGCCAAGATCTCACCACCAAGAGGAAGGAGGAAGACACGAGCGTGGAGAGGGAGATACGGGGGAGAAGAGAGAGAAGCCCTAAGCCTAGACAGGTCTGGAGACCGTATTAAACCGGGCCGATCTCGGATGGAGGATCCCGCCTCTCGCCTTCGTCGAAATTTTCCCGAAATTTTCACCTCGTTGTAAAATTGTCGGCCGTGATCCGTTTGTATATCGATTTAAGATGAGAACGGTTCGGTAAGATCCGATACCGTACACCGTACGTAGGGAAGGGTTCGATCGTGGAGAAAGAAGCCTGGTCCTGGGACCAGGAATTATTATTATCATGGACTCGAGGACTAACCAGGGTTTTACGTTCGTATATATATATATATATAATATGTAAATATATAAGCGACGTCCAATTATTATTTAGGTTACTATCTCGCGTACGTGTCAAGCGTTACCCATTTTTGTCATTTCGAGAGTGAGATCGATCGACGACGAATCATCAGACGAACGATCCTCGTTACAACCCATCCCTATTTTCCACGAATGGAACGAATTTTACAAAGTTGAGCCGAAACGAAAAGAGGTTCGGCTCGAGGAGGGCCGAATTTTTAATAATATATATCGTAACGAACGATGGACGAGAGGATTTATTATATCCGTCGTTGCGACACGGGTGCCGGGGTTGTGACGTGGATCGTTCCACGTGATTTTCCCGAATCGCGAGAAACCGCGAATTCGCGACGAAATTGTAAATATATCACAGATCGGAATTTCCCAAGTCCAAGTCCAAGTCACCGTTTCCGCAGGCTAGTCACTTTTCTTTCCTTTCTTTTTTTTTCTTTTTTTTATTATATATATATATAACTTTTCTTCGCCTCTTTTTACGAGGCGAACGTTAACCGTCGACCCATCAGCGGCGAACGCGATGAAGATCGTGAAACGCGATCGACGACCAAGGGTCCGACCTTCGTTTCGCGTTTGCTCGCGTGACTCGGCTCGACGATCAGATTCTTTCACTGTTTAAGTACGTCATCAAATAAAGTAATATCATCCGTTCCACGAATCCGACCATCTTCTTCTCGCAGCGTCTAATTTTCTTCGACGAACGAGCCAGTCTGCTTTCTCCAACGGATAGTAAGTATTCTTCTTTCTCCTCACCTACTTTTCCCTCCCAAGTTTTAAACTTTTCCAGCTTGGGTAAAAATTTTAAACGTCACAAATTTTTGAAATTTCGAAGGAAAACCAAACGTAGAAATACTTGCACATACAGCGCGCATACACCAGTTTTCACTTGTAAACTTTCCCTCTTTTTGTTCAGCTTTCGAACGTTAGACGCGCAGAAAATGAAAAGAAAGCTCCGTGTCCCCGCATTTTCTTCGAGGAACCGTATTTTTCGTTAACCGGGGAACGAACGAAGTTGGAAAGATGAAATGGAAGTCGGGGGTTTGAAATTGATTCAATTCGCTCCGATCCTTTCGGAAATTTCCTCCTCCTCCTTTCCCCCTGTACGAGGCGGTAGAAAATTTTGCAAACACCCGTCACGTTTCGCGGATCGATATCCCTCTCCCCCGTGGAAGGGTGAGAATTGGCCGTATCGCGGGGGGGGGGAGGGGGCGAAATCGGCGAAGTCGCGGACGCGCGCCAACTAACCCAACCTAATCCGGACGGACGAGATATGCAGCAGATTCAATAATTCCCCGCGATTGCAATCGAGCGGGATGCACCGCACGCAAAAACGGCCAGGCCCGATATCCGCTCGGTGAAAAGGTCCGCGTGATTGATGGGACACACAAAGCGAACCCCCTCCCCCTCCCCCTCCACCGCCGCAAGGGTCCATCTACACCGCGGCTGCACGAGGCTACTTCCCTCCCTCCCTCCCCCCCCCATCCCCCTCGGCCCCGCCGTGTCCACGTCACGTGAAATCGAGATAAAAAGACCGCAAAACAATTTTCTACATTATTTTCGGATGCGCCGGCCCCGATCAAATGAGCAATAATGCCCGGCACACCGCATACCCATGAATCTTTCAAACGACGTATTCAACCGTGACACGCCGGCGGCTTTGGCGCAGCGACGACGCGTTCCACGCCGATGAAAATGCTGCCCGCCCGTACGTACACGTTGCTAATTACGAAACAGGTAAATATCGCGCCCGAAACGAACGCGCCCGAAAATTGTCCCTCTCCGTGAAATTTACGCAAGATGTTGACGAGATTCCGTTTTTTTTTCTTTTTTTTTTTTCAAATATAACGAACGACATTAATTAAACCCGATTTTCAATCGCGCGTCGACTCGAATATCTCTTCTAATTCTTCAAGTTTTAATAACGGGATTAACAAGGG